AAAAAAGGGAAATTATGTAATATATTATTGGAAAATAATAATTATATTAATTTATATTCAATTAAGTTTAATGAAGCTCGATGACTACTTTTCTGGTTTCAGCTATCCAAAATGAGAAAACTACACATCTTAAAGAATAGTTTTAAACTTTCATTTCAGAAATATAACATATCCTGTTTTAGATATGATTGTTTTCATAGCATTTAATATGATCCTACTTTACTTCTACCTGAAATTACAAGTTTATTTATGTCCATATTTTAGTTGAATAAAAAAACTCTTTTACTTGTTAACAGATGACTATCAAAGTATACTAATTATGCAAATGCAGACATTTTGTATGCAATCATGATCCTAAAAGCAGTTGCAACTTGTTTATGCATTATCAATTTGTTTGCTTGTTCCATTTAATTCATTCTTAATGGAACCTGTAGCAATGCTTTAAAAATGTTTTAGACTAGCTACTATATTACAAGTCAATAATATATTTCAAGCCATGCGGTATTATTTTTATTAGTTTTCTCAACGCACATGTAGACTGAATGAATACATAATTCTAAAATATAGAAATGTTTTAAAAGAATATATGTAAAACTAAATTATATTGATAACATGACAGTTCTAGATTACTCTATTGTTTATAAATTAAAAATATAACATTGAGAGGCAGAATAACTTTTAGTTTAGAATTTTTTTTTCTGAAAAGCTTTATTTTTGCACCCAGGTATTAAAAGAAAAAATTCATTCCTATAGATGTATTGATTGTGTTTTGTTCTATTTTAAAATGCAGTTAAGAGATTTGTATAATAACAGAGGATTCTACTTCACATAATAGCACATATCACCTGTCTCTTTCTAGATGACACTTTTAAAAGTATCTTTTTATTAGAAACACAAACCAATACACTCAAAGGACTGCAATAACTACTTTTAGACGATTTGTATTATCATTCCCTTCTTTATATTCTGACTCTAAGTAACTTATTACTATGAATGGCATGAAAATGGCAACCTGTCACAATTGATTTTTTTCAGTCTAAGTTTTTACACACACACACACACACACACACACACACATATATATATATATATATATATATATATATATATATATATATAAACAAAATAAAGGTCTAGTTTATAAAAAGAAATCTCAAGTTTCAGTTCATGATAACTGAGATGTCTTTTTAATAGCTCTTAGGAAGGTTATTGCTTGAGACTAGTAATTATTTGCAGTTTTGAATGAAAAAACTCCCAGAGAGGTTGAAATGTTCTTTATCAAGAATTAAATAATCATAATAGTATTCTGACTATATGATGGAATGTTACAAGCTCATATTTGGGAATCAGAAATTCCACAGAAGTAGAAAGCATCCTAAGTTCTATTACAAATTTATTCACGTATTCTCTGGCAGAGACGTATATTTAAATTAATATTTAAAACACAATGATGCGAAGATAAAACTCTGGAGGTGCTAATTCTGTCTTGACCTTCCTTCTGCATAGCTACCTCTCTAATCAAGGTGCGAAAGAATTCAAGGACTGCAGCCTGGGATAATGCCCAACCCTCAGCTGTTAGAATGACTTGGAACTACATTGTCTTTGTGGAAACTATGAAGACAATGTTGGGTCTCTTATTCAATCCACACAGGTACTCCGAGAAAAAAATAATTTTTCTTTCTGAGATACCTTTTTTGTTTTTGTATTGTTCCTGGCCTTCCAGGTGGCAGATTCAAGGGCAAGGAACAAATAACAGCTGATTCCTAAACTGGCTGTACTGACAATTATTACCAATGCTCTTTCAAGAAAATTTGATATTTTGTAATAATCTCTATATAAAAGACTATCCTGCTAGGCATCTAAAGCTCTTTTCAAAAGAATATATGGCAAATAGCCTGCTAATCTAAGCAGAAACAGTGATCATACCTCTACTGAAAGACCTGTTTATTTATTTATTTGTATTTCATGTTTGGAAAACAACCTTCTCCTCATAGAGTGACTCTGGGTGGTATACAAATATCCATAAAAACATAAAAGCTACATGTAAATATTATAATAAAAAGAGTTAAAACCAAGAATAATTAAAATGAGAATTCAAAAGGCAGAGAAGGGACTTCAGGATGCTAACCAGCTCCTTGGCTATGTGCTCCTCTGTGCCCTGTAAGCAAATCACGAGAGTCAGATCTTCAAGCATTTCCTAAAGGCCAGGAAAGTGGGAGCCTGCCTCACCTTTGGGGGATGGATGCAGGATGCTCCAAAGGTTGGGGGCAGCAGAAAAAAAGGCTTTCTTCCTAGACCCAGTCAGAATTCAGTCAGAATTCTTTAACTGACAGAGTCTGTAGCATACCATCTCTGCCTGTCCGAGTGGCACACGCTGATGTAATGGGGTGAAGATATCTATGCAGGTAATCTGACCCCATGTCATATATGGGTATAAAGGTCATAATCTTGAAGTGAATCTGGAAACAAACTGGCACCTATTACAGCTCATGCAGCAGAGATGTGACATATGCCATCCTTGGGCCACCCAAGATCGCTCGAGCGGTTGCATTCTGTACCAGCTGAAACTTATGGGTGCTTTTCAAGTGTAGGCCCTTGTAGAGTCCATTGCAATTGTTCAGATGGGAGATGATCAGGGAATCAGTAATTCCTTCCCAAATTCAATCGTTAGTGTTTCGGTTTTTCATTTAAAGCTATACAAAGCTGAGAGCTATCTGATACATAGAAACTGCTTCTACATTAAGGAAGAAAATGTCATTCTGAAGATATCATCATTCACTGAATTGTGCTTGATGGACTTAGGAATGAGTATTTATTGTTCTTAAGTTGTGAAAAACATCCCATTTGGAATTCTATTCACTCTGTTTCTGGAATAGATACCAAGAATTTTTTTCAGTTTAAGTTATTGAAAAGTTTTAATTATATTTTAATGAATTATTATCTTAACCATGCTTTCCACTATCAAATGGCTGTATGGAGGCGAATATTTGTAGCACAGAATTGAAAATGAGAGGCCTAAGTGACTGCTTTGCATAATGACAAGAGTTGTCGATCCCAACTCTGGTTGCTAATGAAGTCCCAGACTGCTGCCTTTTTTTAAATGTGGAAAGGTAATCTCTTTCAGATTAGGTTGGGCATAACGTTTCAAAACTCTCCTCTGGATTGGCCTTCAGTTTATGAAATGTTATCTTTCTTTTTACTGACACCAGGCAGTTCTGCCCCTCCCACCTCGCTGTGATGTAATTTTCTCAACTTAGTAACATCAGAACACTAATAATGCTTCACTCCAAATCTCTAGAAGATGGCATCAGTTTGATCTAAATGTTATAAAACGCAAACTATAGATCTTTGCAAAGCATCAGTGGTATAACTGTCATAGTGATGAACTACAGAAGACTAATTCTCAACCATTCTGACTTATTTCAATAGTATATTTTTGCTTTTGGCAATAACTGCTACTAAAAGGTTTAGTAACAGCCAGAAGCCTTTATTTCACTCTCAATCCCAGCTGAGAGAGATTGTGACAGTTCTGTTCTAAAAGACAGGTTAGGGACAGATCATCATGGAGAAAATCTATCTATATGGTCGCTAGGAGTAAAAAACAATTTGATGGAACATAATCATATGTGTATGTATGCGCGACTGCGCATCTGCATGTTTCTATGTTTGTGTATGTATATGTATGTGCGTGTGGAAATAGATATATTCACACATGAACACCCGTGTCTCAAAGATGCTGTTTTCTTCAAAAGGCAACTGAACTGTTTTTTTCTTGAGAAAGAAGAAGAAAACATTTCGCTTCACCAGTTCTGATGGCAGAAGGGTGGAAGGATATGGAACACCCATATATGCACATATCCTTTCAAATACCAAATCAGTGGCATTTGGAAGGCATGAGAAAGTGAGTTACCATTTCAGCAGCATTTTTAAAAAAAGAGCTCTATAATCTCAGTGACAGAAATCCTATTAAATAAAGAAAAATAGCAGTTCTATTTAAGATATGTTCTCACTGTCTCAATTCCTATAATAAGAACCTTCAAATAAAAAAGCAACAAAGAAGTAGACTCCTAGCCACCTGACTAGCTTTCTATATCTTCCACAATTTTTATGGCTTAAATCCTTAGCACCTTTTAATGCTCATACTATTGTTAGCCAACTTCTCTTTTCCCCCCCTGTCATATTATTTCAGGCTACAGAGGGAGGTAATAGGCACAAAGCTTGTTTTCAATAATTCTAGTGGATGTACAGCAGAACAGGACAATCTTGAAACCATAACCCAGTTTGAACAATACAGCAGTAAACCTCATCATCAACCATTCTCTAAATCGTACACTTATAAAAGCATTTAGATTTTCAAAAGCCAATTTTATTCAGGGTTAAAAATAACGAAGAGCAACAAAGATATTTTTAAAAATTATACTCTTGTTTTGGAAACTATGTACTTCACAGCTTATAAAGGTGATCCTTACCTATAAAATAAAAATATGCATGGAGAACTATTCTTTATGAAAAAAAAAATCCACCAACATAGTTATCTGCTCGAATCCCTCTGCCATTAAGATCATCAATTGGAAGAGGATCCCAATATACTTCTTCCAGCAGTGGCAGAATGTCAATGTTAAAAACAAACATATAAATTATCTGTATAGATAACATATATTAGGAAAATGTGGCAAAAAGTAAGATGGAACATGCATGTGAATGCACATAACATCCATTGGCATCTCTGAAATGTATTTTCATGTTGCTGCAAAAAAGAATTTAAAGAAGAGTTTCACTTCTTTAGAGGTCTGTTGCAGGTGGTATATGATTACCCATAGATAATCCAAATCACTTTTTCTTCTTCAAATTCAGATTAATGCACCGCCCTAAAATAAGGAACAATAACAATAAAAGGAACCTAATATTTTATTTAGAGTTTAAATATGTTTTAATAGGGGAAGTTAACTAAAATAGTAGATATGTTTGTTTTCTTTCTGTTAATTCCAAAGCCAGTTTACCTTATTCTTTGGATTTGATGTGTTCATTACACTTCGAGTCTCTTTTCCAGTGTAAATAACAACACCAATTACTGTTCCTGGAACAAATATAAGGAAGAGTTATATGAGAGTCTTATTGTATGTGTTATAATTGAACATTTCAAAAGGAAAAAAAAACCAAAAGTCTGTATCACCAATTAATCTAAAAGTTTCTCTTCAAGTTTTATGGCATAAGAATTGTCTGGTCTGTACATTTCATTCATTGGATATCTAAAACAGAAGTATCTTCCACTGCCAGCATTCTTCCTAAGATTTTAACACCAAAGGCGTGAATATTAAAACTACTTTTTATTATTTGGCTGCACTGACAGAATGTTGTAATTTTGTATGTGCCTTTCCCCTCTCTGCCTTTATCCTAAAGAGAACTAGGAAGCATTCAGTCTGAGACACTTTCTCAAACTCAATTCCTGCTTTCAGGGGCTATTTCTCTTATCTGACTGATGTTTTGGCTGCAGCTCTTCCTCCTCAAGGTTTTTCTTGCCGCTTATTAAAGCAGTCCCATGAGTACATTTTAGTAATAATGATTCTACATAATGCAACTGCATAATTTGACATGATCTTGACGTTTTGTTGAATGGGAATTTGTAACTCTCCTTTTGAAGCACAAAGGCCCAAAACATCCAAGTATAAGAATTTCATTTCATTCTTATTCAGACTTAAAACGCTTTCAGATTGTTCATATCAAAATTACCTGCCATCATTTCTCATCTATCATTATGTAAAGCTAATGAAACAATGTAAGGACTTTTTGATGAATCAAAAGAAAACTTTTCATGACTCTAAACAGGTTTTTACTTTATCGTGCTGGAAAAAGAACATGGGAAATATTTAACCTGATAATTCTTTTAAAGATAATACAAGTAACATTTGGGAACATAGACAAGTATTAAGCAAAAAAGAACCTGATGATTTTTTTAAAAAGGCTAGGGTTGAAAAAGGTTAATAGAAAAAAATGAATAAAAATGTGAAAACTGAAATATTTCTTTTTGTCACATGTTTCCAAACTATGCTTTTTATTTTTACCTGACGCAACAACAGTGCTTGCCCATAGTGTATTTTCTATGCTTAGGCTCTCGTGAACAGTTGGATCACTGTCTTCCTGTAAAGAAAAAAAGAGGACTGCTTGATAAAATTGTATTTCTGAAGTAAAGAATTATTTACAAATAAGTATAAAAATATTAAACATCAGAATAATGACTCGGGACAGAAAAAGTAATACCTGTATGTTATCCAGACTTACAATGAAAAAGAAACAATAAGTAATTTCAGAAAATGTATTGTATGGTACTGAATTATATAGCTGCCCATCCTACATTTGTGACTCTGAGTGCGTCACCTAATTAAAAACCACCAAATAAATCCAAAAATCAGTAAAACACAATAACCCCAGTATATTGACTCAGTGTCTGGAGAAGGTGTATTAGTTCCCCTATTTCCAAATCTGACTTCTGTAAAGCATGTTAATAGACACATCTTTAAGACTGGCCTCCCTCACAGTCTGGAACATTCATTGCCATTACAGTATCTGGTAACTGAAGTTCCTAAAGACTCTGCTATTAAATAACAGACTTCTATGCAAGTATACAAGCATTAAAGACACATTATCTGTAAATCATATCCACTGTTTGTAAAAAAATACATTTGGGAACTGGCATTGAGATGTTATTTTGTAAATTGAATATATTTTTAAATGAAATTATAGGCTTAGTTTACAATAAACACCTGGGGTGATAGGAATGAATTCTCCCAGGTAAAGAGAATTAACCTCTGAAATCCTGAGGGAATTATGAACTTCCGAGCTTTGAACTATCACTTAATAAGGAAAATTTACACTCACAGCAATACCGTATACTGTACACTAACAGCATGCATACTACACTAACAGTGTACAGTATTACAGTAACTAGAAAATATCAGTCTTTAGAAATAAAATAATGATCCAGGATTTACATATATTGTTAGCACACTGGAAAAGAAACAAAACAACAGTAAACCTTAAAATTTCCTTGCTACCCAACTGTAGCCTGGTAGCTAAGAAAGAAGAAACTTGCTTTTTTATTTCGTCCTTCTCCTCTAACATATGCATTTATCTTTATCAACAGTATGCAATTTTATTTAAAATTGAAGTAACAATTCAAATGACAGGAGTAGATAAAAATCTGTAAGCATTCATGGAATCTGTCCTATTTCAGAGAAAAATAGATTGTTAAAGAATTAAGGAAATTAGTAGCTGAAGCTCAACTATTTTCTTTCAATTACAATTTTCCCACCTAACTCATTTTGGAATCTGCATTGGACTAGAAAAGGGCTAAAAAAAAAGAGTTTGTGGAAGCTAATGATTTATTTGGCAGGGCCATGTGGTGTGGACAAGGGAAGAGATTAAACTTTGCATTTCTTCCTCCTCCTCCTGAAATGCTAATAAGCATAAACAGTGCATTTTAAAAGAGTATCTGCATGTGTAGCAGCAGAATGTGAATCAGAAACTGCACTTAGCCATTTGCATGAGCAATGTCTTTACTAAACTAGCAATAGGTACTAAGAAGCCTGCTGGGTAAATAGCCTCTTGCTGAATGGAAGAATGGAAAAACCTGCTTTTCCTTGATCTTAACAAATTATGATGAACAACAGGTTTTATTTTAATATTCTTTTATGGATTTAATACATTTTCCAGCTGTTGTGATATGATATATGCTGCAATCAATGGGCACTGCTTGAAACTTGATTGTGATCTGAATTGTGCAACTTTTATCGATAAAAAAATAATCCATTTTGGGTTCTCATCTGGTATACATTTGCAAATCTTATTCTCCTTGAACGGCTTTTATCGTGCTGTGAACCATCATCAAAATATGGATGATTCGATAGAAGAAACAAATGTCCCTTCAATATTTATTTCTAGCCCATGTCCTACATAGCTCTCATCTCAAAATTTGCCAAAATTTTTGAAAAGTGTTCCACATGCATAAGGAGGTGAAGTATAATGGAATACTATCAAACTACACTAAATACTCATACTCTGACTATTCAGAGACATAATTACTTTTAAAAGTATTTCCTTCTTAAGCCAATTAAGACAAATGAGTAGAGCAAGAATGAGTACTTACAGTAACTACTTACCCGTGTAAAGGTACCTTCAAAGCTGTGAATATCCATTTGAGGCTTTTGAGCATAAACATACGCATTGATTGAAAACAGGTCCTATAACACATAATTTTTAAAATACCTCTGTATGTTAATGTTAAATCAATAGAGTCTTGATTTCTCAATCCCTGACATCTATCTTATCATGCTTATATAGAAACAATAGAGCAGAAATTGAAGAATGGAAGTTCTATGCATTTCCTATCCTTCATCTAGAATTTATTTTCTACATTAAGTATAATCTTTATTGTCATTATACTTAAATACAATGAAATTATAGAGGTTACTTGAAATGTTGGGAAAAAATAATGAAATATGCTTTGACTTTGCTTGTACTATAGGCACAATTAATGTGATTTTTTCATGGATTGTCCTCAAGTAATTAAAAAAATAGTATTATAGTTTAGAATGTCGATATATTTAGCTTATCTGCATTATTAACATTATGATGTATGAATAACAAAAAAATGGAAATACTTTTGATGCCTACATACTTTCCATCATACTTTTGATGCCTACAATGTAAAACCTATTCCTACTCTCTGAACATCTTCTCCTTGTTTGAAATACTTGTTAAAGTAAAGACTAAATGAATTCCCATCAATATACAGCAGTCCTTTAATGTCCAAATTATATCTAATCCTGGTACAGAAGTAACAAAACTAATATGTATAACTGCACATACATTGTTTGAAATATGAAAGAAGTTACCTATTACTGTGGTTCTTTGTTCTGTTAGATCACATGTATTAGCTCTTGTGTTTATGCAAAGCTCGATTTGAAACATTTCAGAACTTAAGAGATTGTATTCATTTATTTATTTTTAAAATTTATGTAACTGCCCAGCTCACAATTAATGACTCTGAATAGTAGGGAGGCTGGTATCATAGCAGTAGTCCCAACTAATTCTAATAAACAGAGTTACTCTTCCTGTGAGACAGTCTCTGATTGTCTCCAAAGTATCTTCGATAACAATGGCTACCTCCTTGCTGCCCTGGACTCTCAACAGCTGCCACATCCAAAACTCAGGTGGGCATATCTCTGAGCAGGGAAATACTTCCTACAATGTCCACCCAGGTCTCGGTAATGTATACCATATGATAAGAGTTTTACTGCAGGTTTTCCTGGCATTCAGCAGCAACAGTCAAAAACCAGGTTGGATGAAGAGGTTGGATACAGGGGACTGAAACACAACACTAGTAAAAGGCATGTATTTTTCGAGTATGATCTGCCTTTTGCCATACCTTACATGGCAAAAGGCAGATCATACCTTACCTTACATATCCCACAAATCTTCCATGAGGGCCCAACTCCAGGTTAAGGAGTCCCATCTGCATCTCCTACTAAATACTGCCTGCCAATTGGAAATTCTAATTTTCAAAACAACAATCATATCAGATTATCATCACCCTGAAAGAGGGAGCAAAGGCAATTCAGTGCCTACTAAATTTGGTTTTAGTAGGCCTTGATGGAAGGAACTCGAGATGCCACAAATGAAAGTACCATTGTGTCTTTTTTGTAATGATGTTTCTTTACTCATTTAGTTGATTTCTACACCTGTCCATCTCAACAACTGACTCTGGGCAGCTTACATCATAAAATATAAAAATTAAGACAGCACAAAAGAAATGTGTAGGGCACCAAGTAAAACTGTTACTATAAATGGTAATACAACGGGACCATTAACATACTATTTAGCCAAACTGTGTGTGCGGCTGTCCTTTAATGATTTCAAGAAGTGACTAATGTAACGGGTACTGTAACTAATATCTCTACAACATTATACATAAGATTGACAAATGGGAGTTTTCAAGGTTATTGCTTCTTTAGACTCAGAATTGGCAGCCTTTTTAACATGTACTAGTTAGCAAAATAATTTTAATAAGTTAGTTCTATAAATGCCTGGCATCTTTACAACAATTTTCAATGTGCTTCTCTCTAAGGTGTAACCATTAGAGACTATGATGCCCGATCCTGCAAGAATGACATTTACATAAGGAGGTGTTCAAAGTTAACGCACCATGGTTGCTTGTAGAAATGTAGAATGAACAAGACCAATCTCATGTATGGATCTAAAAAACGTTTTATTTATTACATTTTTTGCTGCCCCACTCCACGATGACTAAAAACTAAAGTTGAAATAATATGAATTGGTAGTTGAAGAATATCTGAAATACATATGCATAGGAGATTGCACAATGTATATAGGAGTTCATACCAATAGTCTAAGGTCCAAAAGTTTCCAACTGGAGAAACTAAATGTGTCATCCACAGAAACCTTGATGAAGAACATGATATTCAATAATTCCTAACAATTTTCTATAGTCTAGCTTCCCTGAAAATATCCATAAAATTATTTCTAGCTAAGTCAGATGTTTAATTTTCAACACTTTAGAATATATTGTTATGTTTATAGCTTCAATATTTCTAAAGGCCAAGTAAGCCTTTAATCATGAGATTATTTATGAAAACTGTTTTGCATAACACTGCATTTTATTAGGTTGTTATTATGTTTTATATTTACATTTAGTAAACACAGATGTAGATGAGTGGTTTTCCTTGTGCCCACACAGTAAATGGCTAGCTGCATTTATTCTTTATACCAGCAAGTATATCCAGCAAGTAAGTCTCTTTTATCTATTTATCTGGGAACAGATTTCAACAAGAAATCCCCTCACTTCACTTGGAAGAGTCATCCGTGACTACGAGTAGCAGTACTCACCCAAGGATCTGTAATGGTTCATCCTTCTACTTGTTTCTGAAATCCCTCTCCTTTTTAAAATAGGAGATATAGATATAGAAATATAGAGCTTTCCTGCCTATATCATGGATCATTCATTTAGTATAGATAGTGTTACAAGTATAGTATTCTCAAAGGTACCTGGATTAGGCAAATATATGCCTATCTGAAATACCTTTTAACAGAAATGCATTAAGTACCTGAATAAAAGCAGTAGGACAACTAAGTAAGCAAATGTGTTTGTTTGTGTTCCATTTACCGTAATTTTAAAAGAATGTAATTCTAACTACACTTTTCATTTCAGGTTCTGATTAATTATGTATACTAGCTCATCCAACTATTTTATTCATATTTTAAGGGCACAAATCATATTTCAACATCTTCCACTACAAATCAGCTGTTCTAATGCTAAATTATCAACCATTTATTGTAAGCTTTCACACAAGCTTCCATTCAATGCATTCTTGTTCTTCAAAGTTAGTTTTCATCAGCCTCTTGAGAAATAATTCATATGAACCTAATACACATGTGGTGTCCTATATCTGCATCATTCATTTCTTCTCAATCTGTTATCACCTACAATTTAGATAATCCAGGCTATTATGTGCTTTATTGTTCACAGAAAAATAGGAGTCTCGGTACGGCAGAAAACTAATACCACACACATACTCATAATACAATAAAAACTATTAATGAAGTGAGCCAAGCACGAAAGTTTTCTTTCTTTACAGACTCCACGCTTTGCAAAAATTTTTCATCTAGAAGCAAATGAGATGATTTAAACATTTATTTTATCTGGAAAAAAAATATTTGGTGTCCAAAATTGTCTCAAGAACAAAAAGAATGCTAGTTTGATCTATAAAAGCACTTATGACATATTTAAACATTATAACTAAATTTGAAATAAACAAATTAATTATTGCCCCCTACTGATTATAAATTTCCATTTTAAGGAAATGGAATATATACTGGAATCTTTAAAATAGTGTTAACTATTTTGCATTGCCATGAGCCAGAAATGCATATGTATTTGTACTGTATGCAAATACTAAGATTTTCTATGCATGAGAAATTGACAACACTTTATATTACAAGTATATACAATTTTAACCATGATTTTGTAATTGCTTAGAACAAAGATGAAGAATCTCAGCAAACTATTTTGCAAGGATACATCCAAGTATTTCTATAGGTCCTGAAACAATTAAGAGATGGTACAATAATAACACTGTTTTCCTTCCTTCTGAAATAATAATTTAGAAATCACTCTGGAGTTATCAATAATATAGAAAAACTTCCTCTATTAGGTCAAGGGCAACATTTGTTCACCTTACTTAAAGATCATTAAAATACATCCTTAATCATAACATGTAGTTCATTACAAATAAAATTGTTTCTGGTTCAATAAAACTAATTAAATGTAAATGGTATTGTTTACTGCTTTATGGATCTTTTGATATAAATCAGCAAGTCACTATTTATTGAAAATTACAGTGACCTCATTGCTGCTAATAAATTTACTTGATCACTTAGGCCAAAGAAGCCTATTCAAGAATATACAGTGTAGAAAAACACTACCGTGCATATAACTATGAAACCAAGAAACCTAACCTGGGTGTTACAGTTCTTACAGCTCAGGCATCATTAAATGACTTGTTGAAATTTTAATTCTCTGATCGCATTAAGTGGTTCGGGAAGACAAGAAAATCTGTAGCGATCATCTTTGAGGGTGTCATCTGTTCTTTAAGAGAGCTCTAAAGTTTTGCCTGTTTATTTATTCCAGGAGCCACTGAAGATAAAGTTGCAGTCTTTATGCACTCTGATGATGGAATTGACAGACCATGATAACAATGCAAGAGATGTTTGGAAATGAATGACAATTACCAACAGTATATTAACTACAATAAAAGTCCAACTGCTTAATTCAATACAATTCTTGTTTCTTTTCTCTTTTAAACCTTATTTTATATATTAAGATTGTTCTTATTGTTGTTTGTTTTACATGTTTTGCGGTCTTTATAAGTTGAATAGTCTTTGGTTCCACACTTTTCTGCTTTAATCTGTTTAGCAGACTCTGTTTTTGTTTTGTTCAAATAATTTACATAAAAGAAATCAATATTTTTTACTAATTTAAACCCACAATTTATCAATAAGAAGAAATGTTATCCTAATGAACCAGAGCTTTCTAACATTAAAAATTAAGCTGAATTGGCAACACTGAAGGTTAAATGTTACCAAAAAGTCAAATCTTCTAACCTGAAAACTGTATCACCAGTCAGAATAGAATTGCCAAAATAACCATTGAATGTATATTTTATTTAAATTATTAATCTTGAGTTTTGTTAGCAAATGTTTTGTGCCAAGCATGTATTAAAACATTCACTAAACAGCTTTTTACCACTGAAAACTGAAATGGTTTATTGGATTATAGGGTAGTATTCATTTGTTTAAATCATAACCTTTTCATTCTCTACAACCTGCATGAGTCAAATTGATGACAGATTTTGAGCGTAGTGGTATTATGGAAAAAGCTGTGCAAGAATACAATAAGCAAAAATTAAGAAAGAATGATAAGCTTAAAGGTTTTCCTCAGCCATTTTAGTAGCAGCCCAGCAGGTGGCATTCAAGAATTACTGTAAAACAGAAATCATCCATTCTTTTTTATATTCTAACCACAAAATCCTTACAAATGTTGACAATTTGTGAAAAATATTTGACAAGCTATGAAATATCAGTGACTATTTCCAGGATATCTACAGATTGCCAGGATCTGTAGCGCTCAATGCAATAAGATTTAATGAAAATCCATAGTTTGATTTTCAGGAATGTAAATTGCTGTTGCCATTCTCTTCACTCATTTATTTGGTGCATTTTTTATTATTGTGAAGATGGTAAGAAGCAGTCATAATATATAGTGAGAAGCTTAACAATACTTGGATCCTAAAACTTCCTAAGAAATGCAGTTCTCTCTAGCACTATTTTCACTTTCCTATAATGCCCGCCTTCTAAGAATCTTCACAAAACAGCAGTGTCCTCAGCAAGCCATGTTGATACAAAAATGTCATGCATGTGGTTGATGTGATACAAATTCTAAGCTTACATTCTTACATTCCAACATCTGAGGCAAATACGTGGTAGAAATTTCCTTATTTAATTAAGGGTAGGGATTCCTTTCCAGCTAAACTGTAGATAATGAAACAAGGAGTATTGGAATCATAAATACCCAACAAAGCCATAAATATCCACCTACCATTTGCACATGTGTTAAATGCATCAAACCCAAAGAAGTGTGAAATTCAAATAGCTACCAAGATCTGGTTTGCATTTTCTAACCATGGGCACATGAAATGGAAGACAATGAGACCACACGTAACAAGGACCACTCACACTTAGAAAACTATTGTTACAGAAGTTGAATAGAATAGAATAACAGAGTTGGAAGGGACCTTGGAGGTCTTCTAGTCCAACCCCCTGCCTAGACAGGAAACCCTATACCATTTCAGACAAATGGTTATCCAACATCTTCTTGCATTCACAACTTCTGGAGGCAAACTGTTCCACTGATTAATTGTTCCAACTGTCAGGAAATTTCTCCTCAGTTCTAAGTTGCTTCTCTCCTTGATTAGTTTCCACCCATTGCTTCTTGTTCTACCCTCAAGTGCTTTGGGGAATAGTTTGATTCCCTCTTCTTTGTGGCAACTCCTGAGATATTGGAACACTGCTATCATGTCTCCCCTAGTCCTTCTTTTCATTAAACTAGACATACCAGTTCCTGCAACTGTTCAAAAGTTAAATCAGAACACTGTATTTTCAAGTAGTTTCTCTTTAAGAGAAACCTCTCTTTAGGAAATTAGTCACTAAAATTCCTGTACTCATTTCCTCTTTAGGCAGATTTTCTAATTTTCTGTTCCATGCTCTCCATATCAGGAGCAACTTGAAGAACTATCCTTTAATTTTAGCCTAACTGATGAAAATATCTATTGGACTTTGGGGTGCTTTTTTTTGAACATCTGTGTTTCTTTTACTTTCAAAATTAATCATGTAGCATGTCAGGGATATTGTTTTGAATTAACAGTTGAAAGCACCATGGACAGATGTAGCATCTTGCACAATTTGTGGTTCCTGAGCCATTAAAAATATGTGTATCCCAGTTCGCCGTATGGTTCAGATGGCTTATAACTACAAGAACAGCCTTTATTTATAAAACAAGAATTTGCTTTGTGCAAAGCAAATTATTATATTTTGTATGTAGAATTATATTCTATGTTCCTGTGAAAAATCCTTTTTTTGGTAACTATGTCAGAATATCCAGCGCCAAACTAATTTTTATTTTATCATATTTATATAAAACAAATTAATAAAAAAAAATCTCAGATTGGTTTTACATTAAAGCAGACTCAATGCATTAAAGGAAAAACCAGCCCTTTACCTACAGGCTTACATTAAACAATATATCTATTAACAAAAATTTAAATTTAATAAAGCTCATTGTACTGTAAAAGACCAGTTTTATGACTGTCTTATCTCTGTAAATTGAACTTTCTGAATATAACTAAAATGGCATACAGCAATGAAAATACAATAATGCAATTATTGCATTATAGATGTAATAGCTGTGTATTAACAAATAAATACAATGTTGTAACAATACTTGATCTTGTTATGTTCTCCAAAACTCAAAGACTCCCTCCTTCATTTTTCCTTAAAACAAGTACTGGCTGAGAAATGACTGGCCCCAAATCATCCAGTGAGCTTTGAAAGGTTTGCACTGGTTTCCAGTTTTTTCTTGGGCCTAATTTTAAAATTGTAATATTAATACCACCATTTATTTATCTTTATGGTATAACAGTTATATTTTGATATAGTTTTTAAATATTTGATTTAGTGTATGTATTAATCATCATGGATTGAGGGTTTAAAGGTAATATTATTAAAAATAAATAAAAATAGTACATTCCCATTTATAAAAATTGGGATAAATAGTAATAGTTCAAAGATCTGAAAAAAAATTAAAAGCACTTTCTTTACTTGGTGCCTAAACCCTCTGAAGATCCCATTCCATGATGAGCAAATCATTAAGAAAAGAGATTCATAGTAATCATACATCTCTGCTCATTTGGCAGCAACCCTTTCCTCACACCGCAAAAGATCTAAGGGTTTAATTGGTCATATGTGGGAAGAAGTCTTGGTGTGTAATATTCAGATATGAAGCTGAAACTTTGAATTAGGTGTGAGTGCACTTACCATTCCTGTCAGCAGTGACAGGGTGTAATCACATACCTCTCTACAACAAACAAGTATTTTCCCAGAAGCACATGGAAAAGATGCAAGTCTAGAAAGATGCATAAGTTTTTAAAGGGTCCAACATATGTCAGTGCTGGATTTGAAGTACCTTCCACTTGAGGTCCATGCCTCCCAAAAGAACAAGCTTTTGAGAAATTGACTGGAGTCATTTAAAAATATTTGAAATGGGCCCTAAAATTTGTCTCACCGATACAGTCATAAAAAGTAATAATGAACAGTCCACAGATATTCTTAAGAAATTCTGAAGCTACGATTTAGAAGCCCTTCTTCTCACTATCTTATGCTTTTAAAATTTTGAAATATTTATTGATTTCAGGAGTTTGATATTATATATGTTGATTAAAAAAAGAATCCAAAACAAGTAATTATTTAACTGCAATGAAAGGACTAAAAGGTTGAACCATAATGCTTACCCCTAAAGCTGGTAATCTCTGTGTGCAACTAACAGCAACTTTTAGTTTCCAGTCTGTCTCTCCATCCAGCTGATCAGTTCGAATAAAACAGGAACCTTAAAATTGCAAAACCAAAACAAAACCCCAAGAACATTACATATTTTAGATTCCACTAAAATAGAAACTAAGCTATGATTTTTTTTTTAATTGAATCCTACAATTCTATCACTGTTAATTCTGGTAGAGCATAAGACATAAAGAAAAAAAATCCTATAGACAGTTTTACTAGTACTGTATTTCAAATTTAAAAACATTTCTATTTTTTTTAAAGGTGGGAGTACAGTCTCTACAAAATAATTAACTTCTAGAAAATACAAGGCAAGCATTTTTCAGAGTTATTGAAACTGAACACATTGTAAATAAGTATAAGACAACATGAGAACATTAGACTCCTGTAGTATATTCTAATCAACAGTCTATTCTCCATCATACTTTGCAGATACAAGACATTTCATGGTTCTCTTTACCCTTCCTGTCAATGACTGCTCTCATCCATCAATTTCATTTAGAATTATGCTATAGATCAATGCAGTTCAAGACCAGTGTGGCTCCTCTGAATGGTTGACTGCACATATATTCATTTAATAGAGCTCACACTATGACATGTATCGGCGAGCTGCATTTCCTCTCCACTTCAGCAGTTAATTTCATCAATAACTTATCTCATAGTCCGTTTCCCTTTTATCCAGAAAAAGAGACTAGTTTGTGCCAACTCAGCTTTCAATACCGATCACTACTGCAAAACCTAAACAATAAAATGTCCCCCTACCCAGACATTTTAAAATCATTCTTTAGCACTATTGGCAAGACTTTTTAGTGTACATGATAAACTAATTCTTAAGTTTGCATAATGAAGTTTAAAGAGCATAAAATTATATCGGCAATACTAAAGATGATGAGAAGTAACTTGTGCCAAAAGCATTTGATTTTCTTTTAGTTATAATTTACATAAGGTTTATTCTGATTTAGTAATAGAACAGACCCACTGATGTTAAAAAGCATCACACTTGGAATCAGTTCACCATTCGCACATCATATTTTATCAATGTATCCATTGTCAAACTGTGCCTGCTAATCAAGTTTCTTAATGACAATAATATTTTTATGTATAATAAGTTCAATGGTATATCAATTTTTAGATTTAGATATGTCAGAAAAAAATGTGGATTTTTAAAAATCTCACTGGTTTTTATCTGAGGCTTTGGGGAACTATATTTTCAAACATTTTAAAATGAAATTTGGATTCTTAAAGGTTTACAGCAGAATGAGGCATTGTCTGACTGTTTCTGTGAACAGAATGGGTGGAAACTAGTATGTATTCAAATAATAAACTACTGCACAGAATTAAGTCATACCACTATATTATTTTACTACACTCTTTTTAAACCTAAGAACAATTTATATTGCTGTAACATTCCACATACATTTAATTACAATAATACTACATCAGTGATTACTCCTAACCCTTATCAATGCCAACTAGCTTTTTAATCTTCTGGTGTTAATCAGGACTAAAACAATTTTGTCAATAAACTCACAAAAGTTCTGCGCTTACAAAAATATCAGCAATTATCTGCTGAACCATTTTTGAGATTTTAAAACCGCTTTGGGAAAAAAGGCACATTTTCCTAGCAGCCACTCATGGCTGTTTGAGGTGGAGGGAGATTTTAACTTACCAAAACTGAAATTGTGCTCAATATAGCATATGTTTATAATAAATTGTGCCCAATAAATTGTTAATGAAGCTTATTTCTTTCCAGATACTTTCCGTTCATTTGAACTGGATTTATAGCTGTTGACCCGGAACTCAGCAAAATAATCTACGTAAGTATGATCTCTAAGTATTAGTATTTTAAAGTCATCTGAGTGCCGATTAACAAATCTGAATTACAAAAAAGTCTCAAATGACACAATTTCCTCTTAACATAACTGGAGCTGAATTTCAAATGGAGTTTTTTTTGACACTTTTCACCTGGCATTTTTCCTTTTCCAAAAACAAAGATTAATAACCCAATGAACATTTATTCAGAAGTAAGTCCCACTTTCTTCTATAAGATGTGAATGGGTGCAGCCCGTCACCGGCTGAACTTATTGGACTATAGCTGACAAAAAGGATACAAGCAGCAAAGCTCTTCATAAAATAAAATGAAAGCTGCAGGCATTAAAGAACTGGCTTGATAATTGATGAGAGTTCAATCGGCACAGAACTGAGCATGTCTGATTGATTTTTATTTATTTTTTAAAAGGAGAGAATCATCCTGGGGAATGTGCTGCAAATCAGGAATTTTGTATAACCACCTGGGGACACTTTCTAGTCACCCATGGCAACGAGGCAAGATGTTAATGAGAAGTCCAAGCAAAGAGATCATTTGATAAGCAAAGAGATATTATTCGACTCTGTATCTAATTTGAGAGTTTTAAAAACCTTCCTTGCTCCCTTATTTAGCAGCAACCGCAATAGCTTGAAAGGACAATTCTGAGCACATAGTCTTGCTTAATTTCAAGAAACAGAATCTGGAGAGATAAGCTACTTTATAACTCAAATAAAAGCCATCATTTTACAGATTATTCTTCCTTTTACAAAAGAAAGCCTGCAAATGGGGAGTAAACTAACAGGGAATGTCGAAAAGACTTAAGTATTTTTATCTTAATTTAGTAAAATAAATTGTCCCCTTTCAAGCCCCTCACCTATTTTCAGAAATGGGTCTACAGTATTCCTATTTGCTACTGGTTTGGCACTACTATCATACAGAGCTGTAGAGGTTAACAAAGATATTATTTGCTGTCAATTATAGGTTATCATCTTTTTTTTTTTGAAGCTCAGATATGTTGGCAAATAGGTAACTTGCCTTAAAAACTGAAAGAAGGAATAAACAAATAAATAAGGTGTGCAAAAGTTATACAATAATTGTTATGTAACTGCTATTTTTTAACAATATTTATTCCTTATAGTACCAATTAGCAGTAATTTACTCCATTTTGTTTAAATGGTCACTGAATTTATGTTGGTTTTATACCTTAATATTTAGATTTTTCCCAATCACATTTAAGACAACGGACATGTTGGGAAAATGCCATACAAAATTAAAATCCATCAGAGTTAAATGTATGGGTTCACTTTTATTTCTGCAAAAATGTAGAATAGCGTGTACATGAATTAACCAGAATATGCTGAAAGCAAAACAATAATATTCACATGCACAATGTTCAAATATAGATTTAGAAAAAAATTAGGAAAATTTGAAACTTTTAATGCTATCTATAAGAAGGAACTATATGCCTTCAATTAAAGTTTTATTGATGGTTCTTGAATTTTCTGCCATTTGTAATCAAAGCGCAGCACTACAGATTTAAACAACCAACAACAAATGAATTTTGGAGGCTGCAGAGGCACACATGAAGCAGCAGACTGTAACTCCTTACACCAGGGTGTCAAACTCACATCGACATGGCAGCATCACATGACATAGCAGGACCCCCCGAACTGGGTGTGGGTGTGGCCATGAGCCATGACAGTCCTGCCTTAAACCAAGCCTATTTTTTCCTGAGATTGCTATAGAAGCTACAGAATCTTAAGACAGACACAGCTTCAAAGAATTCAAGTCCCAAACCATCTTTCTGACTTCCAGCATAGCTTCAATTTATAAAGTACTTATTTCTAGAAGCATGACTGAAGAACAAGTCTCAGGAAAATGTTGATCTTTCCCTTTCCAGAACTGCTGTTCAGCTCAAATTCAGAATTTACAAGTAACAATAAAAGCCATCAGTAGATCAAACCATGTCTAGGCTCTTTTAATGCAAAATGCGGTCTTCATATGGACAAAAGGACAATGGTTTCCAAATATCTAAACATTTTAAGGCATAAAACTAAGCAAATAAGGTTAATTGTTCTCTCTGCACATTATAATTAAAAATAATGGACTAAATTAAATAACACTGCAATTCGAAAACTTTTGAGCATTTTGAGCTCTCAAACATTGAAGCTATTTTGCTGACTTAAAGGCCACATGATTGCAACCTTCATCTTTAACAATTTGTTTTTAAAATATTGATCCACTTTTCAGGTTCAACAAATCTATTAATGTTTCTTAGTTCTTAAAATACTAACCTTTTTAAAAACATACTAATCAGGCATTTTTAAATGAAACCTCTAGAGGAGACAGCAGAATATATACCAAGAAGCAATCTCATGAAAATGCAGGGCTATCATTAAGTGACTTATTTATTCATTTATTCAATTTCTATAGCTGCCTATCTCAGACTCTGGGCAGGCAACAAGAATAAAATCAGTTAGTCTGACTATAATATTTTGCTGTAATCAATTGATTCAGAGGTCATATATGTATAAGAATATATGACCTTGGAAGTGGTATATCTATTAAAAAAGAAAGTAAGATCTGCATTTGCCTAATTTGACAAGGTACCAAAGTTACAATAAACTTCAGTACTCTTGGCAGTTGATTCTTATGGATTCATACTCATTTAAACAGAGCCGAATAGATTCCTGCTTGCATTTGGGTAAGCAATTATCATGGGAAAGCAGAGAGAACAAAAATAAAAGTACATAATAAAAGAAATGGAAATATAACTAAATATAGTTTGCACTAACACCATTCATTTAAACATTCCATAACTTTTTTTATTCGTGCAAACCATCTATTTCTACCATATCCATACTACACTACTTTTTGTTCTTTAATCTTCTCACTTCTCTCCCTTTTCTCTCAAAGGTTTTTTTTTCTTCAAAAGGCAACTGGACTGCATTTTCTTTGATGAAGAAAAAAACGTTTTGCTTCTCATCCAAGAAGCTTCATCAGTTCTGATGGCGGGTTGGTATGGCTTCTTCCTCTAGGAGAGAGGGTTCTTCTTCCTCCTTTTCTCTGAGGAAGTTTTCTTCTTCCTCAAAGTAAAAACAGTCCTATTGCCCTTTTAAGAAAAAAAGAAGACAACTATGACCTGAATGACTGAGAATCTCCACACACACTCTCTCCCTTTTAGGATCTAGTTTATTCCATCCAGTAATGACTTTCTTGGTCTTCCCTATTCTATCAATCCA